ATGATGCTATTCTCACTGCCATGTATGCATTGCCTACTAGTGCTGATCGTGCCTGTTCTCTGTGCGTACCGCCTGACCCTGGTGAGGCTGCTGCTCTAGGTGCTAGTGCGTCTCCTGCTCTAGGTGCTGGTGAGGCTGCTGCTCTCGGTGCTAGTACGTCTACTGCTCTAGGTACTGGTGAGGCCGTGGCTTCAGGTGCTGGTGAGTCTGCTCTCTCTGGTACTGCGCCAACTACGGTCTCGCACACCTTCACCCTTGACTCAGGAGCTTCTCGCTCCTTCTTTCGCGACTGCACCACACTCACGCCGCTTCGTCGGCCAGTTCCAGTCTCCCTGGCGGACCCCTCTGGGGGTCCAGTCCTTGCCCACTACTCCACGGTTCTGCCGTGTCCGGCCGTCCCGTCCGGCTCGCTGTCAGGTCTTTACCTCCCCTCGTTCTCTACGAACTTGGTGAGTGGAGCTGACCTCCAGGATCGGGAGGTTGACCAGTTCACTCCTGCGAGTCAGCGAGTGACTCACTGTACGTGTGCTAGGACGGGCCGGCACTTGGCCACGTTCACCCGTGCACCTGGCTCGAGTCTGTACACACTGACCACTGAGTCCCCTCAGGTAGCTGCGTCTGCGTCTACGTCTGGTCAGCTGGCGGCCCCCTGCGAGTGTCGCGCTTTGTCGCACGACACTCTCCTGTGGCACCACCGTCTTGGTCACCCCTCCTTGCCTCGCCTGCGTCGCATGCACTCTCGCTCCCTGGTCTCTGGTCTTCCCAGGTCTCTGCCTGCCCTCCCTCCCTCGCCTGCGCCGCCCTGCATTCCTTGCGTCGAGGGGCGGCAGCGCGCCGCTCCTCACTCCTCCTCGTTTCCTCCCACAGAGGCTCCCCTGCAGACGCTCCACCTGGACGTGTGGGGCCCAGCCCGCGTCCAGGGACAGGGCCGCGAGCGGTACTTCCTGCTGGTCGTCGACGACTACACGCGTTACACCACGGTCTTCCCCTTGCAGAGCAAGGGGGACGTCCCTGATGTTTTGATCCCTTGGATCCGCGCTGTTCGTCTCCAGCTCCGCGAGCGGTTCCGGCGGGATTTTCCTGTCCTGCGTCTGCACTCTGACAGAGGTGGTGAGTTCTCCTCTGACCTCTTGGCAGCCTACTGTGCGGAGCATGGCATCACCCAGTCGTTCACGCTTCCGGCCTCTCCATAGCAGAATGGGGTTGCTGAGCGTCGCATTGGCTTAGTCATGGAGGTCGCTCGTACCTCCATGATCCATGCGGCTGCCCCCCATTTCCTGTGGCCGTTTGCGGTCCGGTACGCCGCGCATCAGCTCAACCTCTGGCCCCGTGTCTCCTTGCCGGAGACCTCGCCCACACTGCTGTGGATGGGGAAGGTTGGTGATGCGTCGCGTTTCCGGGTCTGGGGTGCTCGTGCCTTTGTCCGCGATACCACCGCGGACAAGCTCTCCGCCCGCGCTGTTCCCTGTGTCTTCCTTGGCTTTGTCCCTGACGCGCCTGGTTGGCAGTTTTACCATCCCACCTCGCGCCGTGTCTTTGCGTCTCAGGACGTCACGTTCGACGAGTCGGTTCCCTTTTACCGTCTCTTCCCCTACCGCACTGCCCCGCTCCCCCCCCCGCCGCTCTTCCTCGCTCCAGGTGCTCCCCAGGTAGACCCCCTCCCCACTCCTGGTCCTGCTCCTTCAGGTGTTTCTCAGGTAGACCCTCCTCCCTTGACTGCGCCGGTTGAGGTCACTGGTGACTCAGGTCCTACTGAGGGTGGTCCTTCTCGGGGTGCTACTTCTAGGGGTGCTGAGCCTGGGGGTGCGGAGCCTGGTGGTGCTGAGCCTGAGTGTGAGGGGTCTGGGGGTGCTGAGCTTGGCGGTACTGACGCTGGAGGTTCTGGAGCTACTGAGGGTGCTGGCGCTGGAGGTTCTGGAGCCGCTGGAGGTGCAGGTGCTGAGGGTACTGACACCGGAGGTTCTGGAGCCGTTGGGGGTGCGGGCGCTGAGGGTTCTGAGTCTGCTGTTGCGCGGTCTCCTTGGAGTAGCCGCCTTCGTCCACGTGTGCCTCTCACCCCACAGCAGCTGCAGGACTGGTACGGTCGCCGTCAGCGTCGCGCTGCTGGAGCTAGGAGTGGTGCTGGACCTTTGTCTACTGGAGGTGCTGGAGTCGCTGGTTCTGGAGGTGCTCGTACTGGAGACACTGAGGCTGGAGACCCTGGGACTGGAGGTGCTGGCTCTGGGGGTGCTGCTGCTGGAGACACAGAGGGTGGAGACCCTGGGACTGGAGGTGCTGGTTCTGGGGGTGCTGCTGCTGGAGACACTGGGACTGGAGGTGCTGGTTCTGGGGGTGCTGCTGCTGGAGACACAGAGGTTGGAGACCCTGGGGCTGGGGGTGTCGGCTCTGGGACTGGAGCTTCTGGAGCTGCTGGAGGTACTGGAGCTGCTGGAGGCACTGGAGCTGCTGGAGCTGCCGCTCCTGGTGCAGCTGCGCCGACACGACTGTTCTTTGCTCCGCCGTCTCCGTCGTCTCTGCCGCCGTCTGACTCTGTTCTTCGTCAGGTTCTTACTCTCCCGTCGTCCACTGGTCTTCCGTTACAGCCCGGCTCACCGCTGCCTGCTCCTTCTCCTTACACTGTGCAGACTGGTAGTCCTGCTGAGCGTCGTGAGCCTGCGTCGCGTCCTGTTTCGCCTGTTCGTCCTAGTCGTACCGGTCGTCGTGTTCCTCGTTCGCGTCAGCCGGCTGTCCCCAGCGCACACCTCGTAGTCCGTCGTCCTTCCTCTGCTCCGCAGCCTGTTCCTCTGCCGTCTCCTCCTGCGTCCTCGTTGCCTGACGTTCCGGACCCTGCGTCTGACCGGTTTCGTGCTGAGCACCCTACTGTCACGCGTCTACTAGCCACAGTTGTCACTGACCCGTCGTTTGAGTCTGCTGCTGCGTCTGCTCTTGTTGCTGAGCTTGTTGACTTTGCTGCTGCCTGTCGTCTAGACTTCACTGCCAGTCTTGTTACTGAGTCTGAGTCTGTCTGTCCTCCGTCCGTCGGGGGTGAGTGTGCTCTTAGCACGGACGTCCTTGAGGACAGGCAGGAGGAGTTCCAGTGTCTTGCTGCTGCTTTACCTCATCTTGTGTCCTCGCTACTTGCCCCTGAGGGAGACCCGGATGCACCAGACATCCCGACTCCGCGCTCTTACGCAGAGGCGATAGAGGGTCCCTACTCCTCTCAGTGGCAGGCAGCCATAGACGCAGAGATGGCTTCCTGGAAGTCCACACGCACCTATGTCGACGAGGTTCCCCCACCTGGGGCGAACATCGTCAGTGGCATGTGGATTTTCAGGGTGAAGCGGCCGCCGGGTTCTCCGCCTGTCTTCAAGGCGTGTTACGTGGCTCGAGGCTTCAGTCAGCGAGAGGGAGTTGACTTCTTCCAGACCTTCTCCCCCACCCCGAAGATGACCACTCTTCGGGTGCTGCTGCATGTTGCTGCTCACCGTGACTACGAGCTTCACTCTCTTGACTTCAGCACAGCTTTCTTACAGGGCAGCCTGCACGAGGAGATCTGGCTGCGCCGCCCCCCGGGCTTCACTGGGTCGTTCCCTCCTGGCACCCAGTGGAGCCTCCGGCGGCCGGTCTACGGTCTCCGCCAGGCGCCACGTGAGTGGCACGACACACTGAGGACTACGCTTGCGGCTCTTGGGTTTGCGCCTTCTACTGCTGACCCGTCGCTGTTTCTGCGCACCGACACTTCTCTGCCGCCGTTCTACATCCTCGTGTACGTCGACGACTTGGTCTTTGCCACTGCTGACACTGAGGCTCTCGCCCACGTGAAGTCGGAGCTGCAGAAGAGACACACGTGCACAGACTTGGGTGAGCTGCGCAGCTACCTTGGCTTGCAGATCACCCGGGACAGAGCACGCCGCACCATCACCTTGACTCAGTCACACATGGTGCAGCAGGTCCTTCAGCGCTTCGGCTTCACCTGGTCTTCAGCACAGGCCACTCCTCTGGCTACAGGTCACACGCTCTCAGCTCCACCTTCGGACGAGTCCGTAGAGCCGAGTGGTCCTTACCCAGAGCTAGTTGGCTGCCTCATGTACCTGATGACTTGCACTCGACCTGACCTCGCGTACCCTCTTGGTCTTCTGGCTCGCTACGTGGCTCCTGGTCGGCACCGACCTGAGCACATGGCTGCTGCTAAGAGGGTACTGCGCTACTTGTGCAGCACATCAGGCATGGGGCTAGTGCTTGGAGGGACGAGCCCAGTTGTCCTCACTGGACACTCAGACGCTTCTTGGGTTGACGACCTGGCTACTCAGCGGTCGTCACAGGGTTACACCTTCAGCCTTGGCTCTGGTTCAGTTTCGTGGCGTTCTACACGCTCGTCTTCAGTTCTCGGCTCCAGTTGTGAGGCTGAGATCTACGCCACAGCCATGGCTGCACAGGAGTTACGCTGGCTCACCTACCTGCTGACTGACTTGGGAGAGCAGCCTCGTTCTCCTCCAGTGCTGTACGTCGACAACAAGGCCGCCATTGCCTTGTGTGAGGAGCACAGACTGGAGCACAGAACGAAGCACATTGCTCTGCGTTACTTCCTGGCTCGAGAGTTGCAGCAGCGAGGCCAGCTTCGTCTTCGTCACGTGGCCACTCGGGCCAACACTGCTGATATATTCACCAAGGCACTTCCGTCTGGTGATCATCAGCGCTTTTGTACTCTGTTAGGCCTTGTACCTACGTTTCCACACTTGCTGTAGTCTCTGCTTGTACTGTGATCTATGTATATATATATATATATATATATATATATATATATATATATATATATATATATATATATATATATATGCATGCTGGCTCTTGCTAGGTAGCCATCACTGTACTGTTATTGCTGCATATATATCTCTGCATGTGAACTGGCCCTGTGGCCCTTTGCTTGTGCTCGGAATGCGTGGTGACGTTGTGATCCACCCTGAGCTTGTTTTGCTTCTCTTGACTGGTCGTGTGACCCCTTTTTCTCCCCCACTTTGCCTATGGGGGTGTGTCAAACTATATGTGCTGCATATTGTCTAGGCTGTAGTGGGGTAGCCCATATGGGGTACAACCCAATTAGGGTTTACTACTTGTACTCCTGCATCCTGTTAGTTCATTCATTCCTGCTGCTTGATTCTAACAAGTGGCTTACTCGTAACGCTACTGCTCGCCTCGGCATTCGCAACCACGTGCCGTTAGCCGAACGGGCGCACTTTGGCCAGCACAAGACAGCTAAAACACTGTTCGACGCTGTAGTTGCTCGTTACTCCTCCCCTGCCATTGCTGCTCTCGGCCGACTTATAGTGCCCTACCTTTTTCCCGAGCTGTCAGCCTTTCCCATAGTCGCCGACCTCATCACCCACCTTCGCACTAGCGACACTCTCTACCGGGCTGCGCTGAAAACTGAGTTTCTAGACAAGAACCCTTTCCCCACGTACATCACTCCTTACTTCCTCGTCACCCGCATTCCTGACTCTCTTCACGCAGTCAGGGACCTCCTTCTTTCTCGCCCTTGACCCCACAGACCTCACTGTCGACCTGCTCGAGAAGCACCTCCTTGCAGCTGAGACTAGCATAGTCGCTGTAGGTGCTTCTCGTGGCACTCCTCGCACTCCCTTCTTTGAGGGGTGTTCCCCCTCCCCCCTTGCCCCCTCTGTCGCTTCTGCTGCTGCTGTTGACTTCCTTCGTGCTGAGGAGGTCGGGGCTGCGTCTGCTCCTAGTGGGAGGCGCCGCAACGGCAAGGGCAAGGGAGGCAAGAGTGGTGGAGGTGGCAGCGGTGGAGGCGGTGGTGGAGGTGGTGGTGGCGGTGGGGGTGGCGGTGGGAGTGGTGGTGGGAGTGGAGGCGTCGGTGGCGGCGGTGGTGGCGGTGGGAGTGGTGGTGGGAGTGGAGGCGTCGGTGACGGCGGTGGTGGTGGTGGTGGTGGCGGCGGTGGTGGCGGCAGTGGGAGTGGTGGCAGCAACAGTGGTGACGGTCGTGGTGGAGCCGTTCAGAGGGGAGATTCTGGCGGTGGCTAGAGGCAACAGCAGCCTCTGCGCAAGACCCTTACGCCCCAGCAACTTCGTGAGTGCTTTGCTCAGCATGGGGCGCCTGGGGGTAGTGTTCGCTACCCGTACGTCATTCTCACAGGTGATCAGGCTGGTCAGCCATGCGAGAAGGTTGGTCACACACAGTACCGCTGCTTCTCCCATCTTGGCGACGCCTGGCGCGCAGAGTTTGGCGACGAGGCTGAGCTCCCCCGCTGGTTAGAGCTGCTTAGGAACGATGTCGATATCTTTGCTCTTGACTATGATGCTATCTTTGCTGCCATGTATACTTTAACTGTCAGTGTTGAGGGTGACTATTAGCTGATGTGCCGCCTGACCCAGGTATAGAGGCTGCTGCTCTAGGTGCTAGTGCATCTGCTCTCTCTGGTACTGCGCCTGCTAAGGCCTTGCACACCTTCATGCTTGACTCAGGTGCTTCGCGCTGTTTCTTTCGCGACAGTACCACAGTCACAGTCTCTCTGGCTGATCCCTCAGGGGGGCCAGTTCTTGCACGCTCCTCCACTGTTCTCCCGTGTCCGGCGGTTCCGTCTGGCTCACTGTCAGGTCTTCACCTCCCCTCGTTCTCTACGAACTTGGTGAGTACCGCTGCCCTCCAGGATGCGATGGTCACTACCAGCACTTCTGGGGGTCATCGTGTGGCGATTTGCACGTGTACACGGACGGGCCGTCACCTGGCCACGTTCACACGTCGGCCTGGGTCGACTTTGTACACACTGACTACTGAGCCTACTCCGGGGGCTGTGTCAGGTCAGGTGTCCGCGTCAGGTCAGGTAGCAGCCCCCGGTTCGTGTCGCCTCCGCACGCACCAGACTCTCCTTTCGCATCACCACCTTGGTCACCCCTCCCTGCCACGCCTCCGTGGCAAGCAATCTCGCTTCCTTGTCTCTGGTCTTCCCAGGTCTCTGCCTCCCCTCCCGTCCTCGCCTGCCCTGTTCTGCCTTCCTTGCGTCGAGGGGCGGCAGCGCGCCGCTCCTCACTCCTCCTCGTTTCCCCCGACGACTGCTCCCCTGCAGACTCTCCATATGGACGTGTGGGGCCCCGTCCGCGTCCGTGGACATGACCGCGAGCGATACTTCCTGCTGGTTGTTGATGACTACTGTCGATACACCACGGTCTTCCCCATGCGCAGTAAGGGGGAGGTCCCTTATGTCTTTATCCCTTTGATCCACACTGTTCGTCTCCAGCTTCGCGAGCAGTTCCGTCAGGACCTTCCTGTCCTGCGTCTGCACTCTGACAGGGGTGGTGAGTTCTCCTCCGACCTCCTGTGGGACTTTTGTCGTGGAGAGGGTTTTATCAAGTCGTTCACGCTTCCGGCCTCCCCGCAGCAGAATGGGATTGCTGAGCGCCGCATTGGCTTAGTCATGGAGGTGGCTCATACCTCCATGATCCATGCAGCTGCTCCCCAATTTCTGTGGCCGTTTACGGTCTGGTACGTTGCGCATCAGCTCAACCTCTGACCCCGTGTCTCCTTGCCGGAGACCTCGCCTACACTGCGTTGGATGGGGGAGGTTGGCGATGTGCCGGTTTTCCGGGTCTGGGGCTCTCGTGCCTTTATCCGCGATACCTCCGCAGACAAGCTCTACTCCCGCGCCATTCCCTATGTCTTCCTTGGCTTTCCCACTGACGCGCCTGGCTGGCAATTTTACCACCCCACCATGCGCCGTGTCCTGTCCTCTCAGGACGTCACGTTTGACGAGTCGGTTCCCTTTAGCCGTCTCTTCCCTTATCGTACTACCCCTCCCCCCCCCCCCGTAGCTCTTCCTCGCTCCTGGTCCCCCTCCGGTAGACCCCCTCCCCTTCAAGGTCCTGCTCTTTCAGGTGTGTCTCAGGTAGACCCACTCCCCTTGGCTGAGCCTTTCAAGGTCACTTCCGACACCTCTGGTCCAGCTGAGGGGGGGTGATGTTGCTGCTGACGACGCGGCGGCCCCTGGCCACTCACCACGCTTGGAGACCCCTCCGGGTTTTCTACCTCAACCGTCTTCGCCGCCTCTGCAGCCGGTTGCTGTCGACTCTGGTGCTCTTGGGGGTGGTGTTCCTAGAGGTGCTGAGTCTGGGGGTGCTGAGCCTGAGGGTGCGGAGCCTGGGGGTGCTGAGCCTGAGGGTGCGGAGCCTGGGGGTGCTGAGCCTGAGAGTGCGGAGCCTGGGGGTGCTGAGCCTAGGAGTGCGGAGCCTAGGTGTGCTGAGCCTAGGAGTGTCGAGCCCATAGGGTACTGAGTTTGGTATGGAGGTCCTACAGGTGCCTCGCCATAGCGGTCTCGTCGGCGAGAGCCTCTCTCACCACAGCAGCTGCGCGAGTGGTTTGCTCGGCGCACCCGCCTTCGGAGTGGCACGGCTGGAGCTGAAGGCCCTGCCGCTGGAGGCATTGACGCTGGAGGCGCTGGAGCTGGAGGCGCTGGAGCTAGTGGCCCTAGAGCTAGAGGCCCTGGAGCTGGAGGCACTGGAGCTGGAGACGCTGGAGCTGGAGGCGCTGGAGCTGGAGGCGCTGGAGCTGGAGACCCTGGAGCTGGAGGCGCTGGAGCTGTAGACCTTGGAGTTGGAGGCACTGGAGCTGGAGGCGCTGGAACTGGAGGCGTTGGAGCTGGAGGAGTTGGAGCTGGAGGTGTTGGAGCCGGAGGCGCTGGTGCTAGGTGAAATATAAATTTGCCCTCCTTGACAAGATAATCTTGAATCACAGCATGCGTTGGCCATGTTAGTGACCCAACTAACCTCCAAAATGTCATAACCCTTCCAGGGTATCAAAGGCTCGAACATGTCGTGTCGTTGGCGTCGGTGTGCGAGAACCCATTCCACCTTATACTATGGCTCATCCTATATAGGAGCACGTGGCAGTGGCGGTATTTGAGATCCCTACTACTCAGGGCCTCAGATTTCAGCGAAAAAAGGCTGATTTAGGTAAAAAAGGCTGAGATTTCAGAGTTATTTTAGAAGCAAGGCTGATTTTCCAGCAATTTTTTTCCGAAATATGTAGGAAATACTATGAGATTTCTAGTGTAAATGGCTAAAAATGACATTTTTTTTTTCTGATTTTCAGCATACTTTTCTGTACCAACTCTGATTGATCAGCCTAGCCCAAACCCAATCTGAGGCCCTGCTACTACTGTTGATTCAGGTCCTTTTAGGGCTTCAGGTGCAGTACATACAAAGCATTCTGGATCCTCCACGTAACATGTAACCTTATATGGGAAGTAACTAGTGTCAACATCGCCTCAACGCAGAAGAATAACATATTTGTGAATTGAGTTTGGATGAGAGATCGGCAAGTACGTGTATTTAAAAGAACTTGGTCTCTGACTTCAATCGTGTTGTTATATCGATGACGGTCAACAAACTGATTCTAGGAGGTATGGATCATGGTTAGGCATCGCCGTCTTCTCCCATGGCTGCTGCATGGTGTGGACGAAGTCATGAACGGCTTGGAGGCATGACAATGCGGTTGGTTGCTGTGGTGTAATGGGTTCGTGTTCGTAGCACAGAAAATAGAGATTTTTTCTTGTAATTTCGTGTACAGCATTGTGGTATGTGAACTTCAACGTTGGTAACTGCTGATCCAGTGCGTTATGGCATCTTCGCAAGCTGTACGCACTAAGGGCGTATTCCTACGGCCTCCTATCAAGAAACCTCCTATCAAGATTGTACCTTTTGCCTGGTAAAAGTAGCGAGAGGTTTTGGGTTTAGGGGATTTTTCAGTGTGAGCTTGATAAGAGGTTTTCTTGATAAGAGGATAGGAATACGCCCTAAGTTTTCTTCCACTTGGTTCAACCGTTCAGTACGGGATTCACACATGTCTTGCTTAGTATAAAGAATATACATTTTTCTTACTTTGCGCCCCTGCTTATCAGTGTAGACACACGATTGTTTTCGACAACAGTAAACTGTTACCACTTGCGACACTCGCCTCGACCATTGTTCCCCAACTGTTCACATTGCGTTGCGACCCAACCTGATGGCTCGGTTGGTAATCCGCGCCCCGGTCCTCCGCCTCGACAATTCCCAATCTCGGCACCAGGCCCGTCAAGCACCCCACATTTCGTTCATTACGTTACCACGCTAGTTTTCTACATAACACACGCTCATTCATTCGCTCGATGTCCTCTTTGATAGTGCAATCTTTGTTCACTCAATTCCACTTTGACACTTAGGTTCTCGTTCTTATGAAGGACTATGCCATCACAATTCCGGTATTCGTTAACCGCATACTCTTTTGTACAGGTTCTGCCGAACCACACAGGCGAGGCTCGTTTGAGGTGAGGCATTGTCAGGTTCGGTTGTGCCCGCCACAGCTCCGTATCAGAGGAGCAAATAAAGTCAACTCCCAAGAGTTCTGGAGGAACCAAACCTCGAAATCTCGTTCGGATTTTCCCTCCCAAGAGGAACCAAACCCCCACCAAACGTCGAAAGTGGTTCTCCGAATCTCCTACCTATCAGGGGGATGCAAGCACCCTAGGGAACGTAAAACCAGTCATAACTGGGCTTGGGGACATCTTCCACTTCCACAGCATTCAAGCCAAGAGCACCACCCCCCCAACGAACATCCTCCCACCGTTCTAGGGACTTCATTGAGAGGCGATTTCGTCTGACAAGGGAGCTTACCGGCCTGAAGGAAAGCCACGTCCTTGGGCTTCCACGACGTTATACGGCTCGTCCACTTGAGCTTATCGTGTTAAGTGTTCGTTGGTGGTCCTTGCTGCCTCGCATTGAGGATGTCAAACGCCAACGGATTTGGAGATTACGATCACCAAGTGGACTATGTCTTCAAGATTGTGCTGATTGGAGACTCTGCTGTAGGAAAGTCTCAACTTTTGGCTAGATTTGCTCGGAATGAGTTTTCGCTGGAGTCTAAAGCGACCATCGGTGTGGAGTTTCAAACAAAAACGATAGTCGTCGACAAGAAGGTCATCAAGGCCCAAATTTGGGATACAGCTGGTCAAGAAAGGTACAACTTTCTTTTCTTTACGTTTATTTTAATTGCCGTTATTTGTCGGTAGGTAACCACAACCCATCATTATGCTCACCATTGACCCTAAACGTGCACCTTTCTTTTGGGGACCTCGCTTGACCTTTTAGAAGAAATGCGTACTTATTTTTTTGCTCGGCCTCGTCTGCGATATTCAGTCTTGTCAGGCTCCCGCGTTCCTTGCTCTTTCGTTTTCTTTCTTGGAAGAGTTTGCTGCTTACGTCGTCTTATGTTTCTTTACAGTCGCATTTCCTGGCAAGCTCGCCTGTCTTCGCATTTCTGTCATCAAATGTTTGTGTTGTTGAGATCTACTCGTTTTTCGCTATCTGTCCTCTTTAGATGACTATTTACTAGCAGTCCCGCAGTTTGAAGTCTTCGTGATGTGAAAAGTCGTATGTGCGGATCGCGTTGAATCTTCCTTGACGGAGTGCGTAAAGCACAAAGGATTCCGCAGCAAATTGTCTACGCGTTTTTTTTCTTTTACGTTCAGTTGTCTACTATTTTCAATATACGTCGCTTAAGTTCAGAACATGTAGAATTTGATTAATCTCTCTCTCTCTCTCTCTCTCTCTCTCTCTCTCTCTCTCTCTCTCTCTCTCTCTCTCTCTCTCTCTCTCTCTCTCTCTCTCTCTCTCTCTCTCTCTCGCACACACAAACACACACACATTCACACGTGCATACAACCACACACACACTCGCTCACTCACTCACTCAATATATCACCCTTCCCTTATTCCTTTGTTCTATCTCTGGTCGTGCAGTCAAGCTTGGGTTTTACTGACTAGAGCTCAACGTATTTTGAAGCGGCTGTAGTGCTAACAATATTTTTTTGCGTACATTCTATTCCAATCCAGGTATCGCGCTGTTACCAGCTCATACTACCGCGGAGCAGTGGGTGCTCTCCTCGTGTACGACATCAGCAAGCGTATCACTTTTGAACACTGCGGTCGATGGCTGGACGAGCTCCGTGCCCACTCTGACTCCAATATCTTTGTGATGCTTGTGGGAAACAAGGCTGATCTGGAGGACCAGCGTCAGGTTACCACCGCCGAGGCAAAAGAGTTCTCTGAAGCCAACCGTGTGGCGTTCATTGAAACATCTGCTCTCGAAGCCCTCAATGTTGAGGAGGCTTTTACCCAGGTATTGACGGAGATCTATCGGATTGTCAGCCGCAAAGCTTTGGACACGGAGGCAAGCTCTAGCAACACGGTGGGTCCAGGCACCAAGATTGTCCTTCCTTCAGGCGGAGAACCTGCCAAGCCAGTCCCTGCCAAGTCTTCATGCTGCAGCACCTAGGTTATTATTATGACTAGTCTGGTGTGAATGGTAAGTAAAATTTGTTAGACTTTGAATATGGAGACTCGGTCTGGTCTTTTAGCTGTGCAGAGCCATGCCTTTATGTGATCTTGACTGGTGCTCATTTGACACCCTGGTGCAAAAGTGTAAGGATACGCAATTTGTTTAGTGAAGAAGACACTTTGCATAGGACTAGAACGCCAAGGCTGCCGTAAGCCACACAGTACACCACACCACAGATGGATGCAGAGGGATCTATTTAACAATCGTTCTAGGGTTAGTATTTGTACTGTACTACACCCAGCCAATTCTCCATATTTTCAAGTTATACTTCGCTTGCGGTGCACCCAAAGTTAACGTCCAAAATCGCACTTGCCGATACGCGCAGCTGCGAACAGTTTCCTCGTTTGTTGTCGTAAAATTTCACCACAGGTTCCCACCATGCGGCAACCCGCGGACCGCAAGGCGCCCGAAAGCGCAGATGACGGGGGAAGCGGAATTGTCGGCGGGGCTCCGCAGGAGCACGGATTTGGCGCACCTGCGCGCGGCGCGCAAGGGCAGGCGGACGAGCACGCGGAGTTGCAGCGGCTTCAGCGGCAACTGGCTCCGCGTGCGGGGAGCGTGCCAATACAGGGCTACCTCCTTAAGCGATCCGAGACTGTAAGAAGACCGAGGAGGGAGGAGAGGTGGGGAGGGGTGGGCGGAAGAGGAAGGGGGGAAGATGTGGTCGTGGGCGGATAGGCAAAAGAGTGAGTGAGTGAAGGAGGTAAGGGGAAGATAACGGGAGGAGACAGCAGGGTGATAAGGCAGATCTAGATGGTTGGCTGATGTGACATGGTCGATAGGCTCCATCTTAAAGCCAGGGTCTCAAGTAAGCTAAGGGGCCGTCAACTGCAAAGCAGTTGAAGCTAGGTTACATAGTTTCTGTTCACGAAGTTCTTTCTGGTTGGGTTGAAAAGTCAGCTTGCGACACACCCCCGTCAGTGCCCCAGAAGCGATTGCACAACACTTTTGGGTACTTGAGACTTTCGATGAGTTGGGGGCATTTTAGGTTTGGCTCCGAGCCAAGTTTCCAAGCCTAGAAGGTTTGGGTACACCCAGCGACTTGAGTTTTCTTCGCACCCCTCGCTTCAACCCACTTCCAACCTTCAACTTCGCCACCCAATCACAACCAAACTTTCACCATCAACTGCAAAGCACTTAATCTACTTGAGACCCTGGCTTTGAGGGCCATGGGATTCACTTGGAAACGAACGGACGAAGATTTTCTCAGGTTTTATTTTGTAATAGTACTTCTGAGTCAACTGAGTTTTGGAGTTGATTATCTCTCCTATATTTTCCGTGTGCAATCTTGTGCGCAACAGCTGCAGTATCCCACAGCAGCCCCTGTAACAGCGACCAGCTGTAACACATGCATGGAGCTGTCTTGACGACACTGTTGGCCCATCATCATCCCTCTTCCCTCTCGCCCGTTCGTTTGGCCGTTATGCCGTTGGCCTACCGTAGGCGGTGCCTTTTTTATTTCGGCGTGCCTGTTCTGTCCTTTCCTGTCCTGTGCCCCAAACCCCTTCCTCCGTATCCCTTGCAGCTACACCTTTGGAACCAGCGTTGGTTCGTGCTCGATCCGCTGACAGCCCGTATGGAGTACAGGTGGGTCTTTTATCGAATACATGTGGGCCTTATCGACTGCAGGTGGGTGGGTCTATGTGGTGCATGCTAGTCTTATACTGAATTCAGTGTGCGTCTTGTTATAAATACCGAGTCAGTTCTTTTACGGAGTACAGGTGGAACTGATACCATCGTGTACTGGGTGTAGATGGGATGCATGGCACGTCAAGAACTGACTGGTCCTATGAACCAACAGACGGATGGACGAGCAGTCAAGGTCAGATGCATCAAGCGGTTGAGAGAGAGAGGGAGGAAGGGGGGGGAGGGAGAATGTCAGAAGGGAATAAGAGACACAAGGATGGGGGAGGGAGGGGTGAAGGGAAGCGGGTAGGAGGGTCTGTACCAGTGGGATTGCGAGATGGAAAACGTGAGTGAGATAGAAGGAGCGAGTCGGGGTACTGTTCTCGCTCCCTTGTTCCATCCTCCGGTGCTCCTTTGTAAGTCCCATTTGCATGTTGTCTACTACTATTGCATGCGGTCCGGTGCGGTGTGGTGCGGTGCAGGATTCAGCGCAGTGACAGCCATGCGCGGGGCATCATTCACTTTGAGGCGGACAGCACCATCACTGTGTCGCCCATCAACCTGCAGTGAGTGTCGCCCATCAACCTGCAGTGAGTGTCGCCCATCAACCTGCAGTGAGTGTCGCCCATCAACCTGCAGTGAGTGTCACCCATCAACCTGCAGTGAGTGTCGCCCATCAACCTGCAGTGAGTGTCGCCCATCAACCTGCAGTGAGTGTCGCCCATCAACCTGCAGTGAGTGTCGCCCATCAACCTGCAGTGAGTGTCGCCCATCAACCTGCAGTGAGTGTCGCCCATCAACCTGCAGTGAGTGTCGCCCATCAACCTGCAGTGAGTGTCGCCCATCAACCTGCAGTGAGTGTCGCCCATCAACCTGCAGTGAGTGTCGCCCATCAACCTGCAGTGAGTGTCGCCCATCAACCTGCAGTGAGTGTCGCCCATCAACCTGCAGTGAGTGTCGCCCATCAACCTGCAGTGAGTGTCGCCCATCAACCTGCAGTGAGTGTCGCCCATCAACCTGCAGTGAGTGTGGGGCGCTGATGCCATGTGCATGTGTGTGCATCTCATGTGCTTTTGTGCGTGTGTGTTTTTGTGATAACGCGTGTGCCTGTTCTTCTGCGCTTGTCTTTGTGTTTTCCCCTATCTCTATCCATGTGCAGTGGGGCCAAGCAGTATGAGAACTGCTGCTTCTGTAAGTGGGACCCCGTCCCTCCACTCCACCTCGCGTCCTCTCAAGCATTCCTCTCTTCGCTTTCCTTCCGTTCTCTCGTTTTTCTTTCCGCAAGCACAGACTGAAGCATGGTAGTTCTCTTTGAAAACAATCCTCTGTGCGAATACTGGATGCCTCCTCCTCTTCCCCTCGCCCTTCCTCTTCCCATTTACACACCCACCCCAACCCGACCCCACACAACCCCTTCCTTCCCCCTCTCTCTCCCCCCCCCGCCCGTCCATGTCCCGTGGTGTGCTGGGCATCAGACGTGGGCACGGCAGGCAAGAAGCCAACTTTTGAGGCGCCTCACAAATTAACTCTCCCTCCCTCCCTTCCCCCCCCCGCCCGTCCATGTCCCGTGGTGTGCTGGGCATCAGACGTGGGCACGGCAGGCAAGAAGGAGTACTTTCTGTGCGCTGAGACGCCTGGTGCCGCCAGGGCTTGGGTTTCCACTCTGCGGTATGAATGGGTGCAGTGCGTGGTATTGTATTTATCTGCATGTAGTGTGCGGTGCAGGAGTGGCGTGCAGTCTGTTTGCAGAGTTCCTCATACAGAGTACATGAGAGGAGTGATTGTATGTAACCTCACCTCATCAGAGCATACCTTTCAGCAGTCACCACTAGGCAAGCAACCACGTGTGCATCTATCCTCCTCCCTGCCTCACATCATCCCTACCCATGCCCCTCCTTACATGCTCCGTGTCACCCGTGCCTGTGCTGCTCCTGCCAGTGCGTGTGCGCTGGTGCTCAAGGCACACCGGGACGAGGTCAACGCCCTCGGCTCCTCCTCCATTCCCCGTGCCACAGGTGCGCTCCGCCCGCTCTCCTCGATCCGCCC